AATTTTTGTTAGTGTTATTTGTTTACCCTGGCATTTTTTTTCAAGACACAACCCTGAAGAAGTGATTAACAAATAAAAGATATAAATAGCTCAAAATGAATTAAGATATTTTTGTGACACTATGACTGTGATACAAAGTCTACTTCCACTCTATACTCTCAACATCTCCAACTGTATTCTGAAACTATTTACACTACATCATTCAGACTCTGTCTATATTTTTGAGATGAGGCATTATGTACATTATTTACATTATTTGGACTATTGTCCTCATTTTTGTTGCCATATTTATCACAACGTTTCGTCCGTTGTATGCTCCGGCCTTCTTCAGGTGGTTGGAATGTCGGACTGAACCCTTATTTTGCTCACTGGGGTAGACTGTTCTAGTTCCACGTGTCATGTTTCAGTTCAACATTCCAACCACCTGAAGAAGGCTGGAGTGTACAACAGCTGAAACGTTGTGGTAAATATGGTGACAAAGATGAGGACAATAGTTCAAATAATGTATCATTCAGACTGTTGTTCTCATCTTTATTTCCATATTCATGACGTTTCGGATGTTGTACACTTTTGCCTTCAGGTGATATGTGTTGGAATTTTGAACCAAAGCCTTTTAGTTAGATTTAAAAAAGGGCATAGCCCAGTGGATAAAAGCGCTGGTTAAGTAACCCCCGCCAAAAAAGTGATTTGACCACAACAGAGGGAATAAAAACTTGAAAAGTTGAGTTAACTGAAACTGAGATATCCCAAAAAATAGCATGGCATGTGGAATTAGAACACTCTACCCTCATGGACTAAATAAAGAGTTTGGTTTGAAATTTCAACATCTAACACTTAAAGAAGGCTGAAGTGTAGAACAGTCGAAACATTGTGAATATGGCAATAAAGATGAGGACAATAGTCCGAATGATGTAAACAGTATAAATAGTTACAATAGCTCATCTCAGAAATATAGAGAGTATTAATCTCTGAAATTTCATTCACTAATTATTTTTTTGTTCTTCTCTCCCAACAGAAATAGGTAGGTGAACCTATCACTCAGTTCACACTTCTTCTTGGTCTTTTGGACAGGAGTAGAGGTTTATTCCTTGTTTACTGTTTAGGATTGGGTTTCTGGTTTCATCTAAAGTTTACCTCTACACTATACTCTGACTGAACTCTAAAAGTTATTCGCTGATCAAATCTTGACTTCTTCAAGTCTAGAGTTAGCCGTTATCTTTCCTGTATAGCCCCCAAGAACTTCATTACTTGCCCTTTCTTATGCTAATACAACACCACACAGTAACCCTCTACCTTAAGTGGCTCTTAGGCCTTGTATTAGGTGAATATTAGTAAAAAAAGAAAACATGTAGAATGGGGTGGTGTGATTTTTATATCGGTCACAAGTGTTTTATGCTTTATGGCTTGCAGACGGAGTCTTTGAAGTTAGGTTTTCTAAGCAACTTTCCTTTGACCAAAAGGGAACAAACAAATAAATAAAATAAAGCTTTTGGGATGAAGTGACAACAAAGTTGAACATTGAGAATTTCCATTCACAGGTCTATATTAACAGTCACTAATAGGATTCAGTTCTGGTCTGCACTTGACTGTGGATAGACTCTCCCAATGATGCTTATTCATATTACCAGCTACACATCATGATGTTGAGATGGACAGAGAATTGGTTAAGTCAAAGGAAAGAGATATTCTGTTAGTCTGACATAACATAAATTGTCACAAGAGTAACCTACCTACCCAGACCAAGCAAGTGAATCCCTGAATAAACAGCTAAATATATTGAAAACTGGGTTCAAGTTTTCATTTCTTGCCGTAGCATTTGTATTCATCTTTCATTTCTTTGTGAACTTGCAATGAACCTTTCCCAGTTTTTGGCGCACACCAACATAAGACTGGAAATGCAGTGTTAAGTTGTGGGTCAGTGGAAAGATGGGTGAGGACCCTGTTGTATGTTTACATTTTAAGCAGCATCTTTTTTTTTGTAGCATAACTGTTGCCGTGCCTTTTACATTTTTCTACATAAACTGGATGTTAACCATTTGACGACCCAAAGCAGACTGCATAAATATGTTTTCTGCGCATAGGCTCCATGCATACATCTGCTTTAACCAAAATAAAATGAACAATTTATTATCCAGTCAGAGCCACTCCTGCTTCGAAAACCAAAACTTTAATTCGGAGCTGAACGACAGCTATATATTCTCTAATTCAAACTCAACACAGACTAACTTGGACATCAACACTGCTAGGCTGAGAGAGGGACAGAGAGAGAGAGAGAGATGTAACATAGACCAGCATTCATGCCAACATCAACACACTGAGAGAGAAACAACAACAGCCATTTACAATGTCTATTTCACTTCTAATTTCACCATTCTCTCTCCCTGTTGCCTTAGAAACAGCAACAGACAAAAGTTACTAGTTTTTATGTATGTAAATAAAAATTAGTCATTTATTTACACATATTCAATGTATTCTCTTTAATTTATGTTTGCTGAGGTGGAGAAGGAATTAACCTCCACAACAGTAACAGCAACAACAACAACAATAAGGTTACCCATTTCTGTGTTCACAACACTGTGCATGTTTACTTCATCCATTAACCCCAGAAGAAAAATGAGAAAAATTCCCACCTTTCTGATTAGTTTTGTTTATGAGTGTGTGATGATATAAATTATGATTTAATTTCAATATATTTCACTAGCTGTCACTTGTAAACCTGCTCATTGTGCTGACACCTTGCTTCTCCTTTTCCTTTCTCCCATGCCTCTCTTCAATAATGTAATTCCCTAAGAAAATTTTTCAAGGTCAAGTAATTTAGACATTTCTTTTGTGATTTAATTTTTAATAAATTGTCTGTATAAATTTAAACCATTTTTTGATTTCAGTCTAATGAGGTAGATATTAAAAATTTATCTGTCAAAATAAATTTATTACTGAATTCTTTGTTTTTTGCTTCTTGATGTATATCATATTGCTCTGTATATAAATTATAAATACATTGAGCTCTCTTCCTGGATCTATCTTTTTAATTTTTTATATTAAAAAGACCTACTTGGATTATCTTTACCACTTACAGATTTGATATTATTATTATATATGTGTGTGTGTATATATATATATATATATATATATATATATATATATATACAGTACAGTTCAAAAATTTGAGGCCACCCCTGTTAATTTTTTTAAATTGGCACAAAAAGTAGTTGTTTTGTACTTTAAATAAGAGAAAATTATTAAACATGGTTAAAAGAAATTGAGACAATTTTTATTACAAATTTTATTATGACAAAAAGAAAAATCATTTCATGATAAAATTTAGCTTTCATCAAAATATCTTCCTTCAGCCTTGATTACTGCAGCACAAATTTTGGTATTTGTTGGAAAAGTTTCTCAAAGTATAAGTTTGATAATTGATTCCATTCTTTTTTTGATGACGCTAAGAACTCTTTCATTTTTTGGGATGGAAAGGTTTTATATTTTCTGCCAAGTTCTTCCCATGCTAATTCTGGGGGTTACTTCAAACTTTTGAACTGTAGTGTATATATAAAATCACTAGATCATCCATAGTAAATTTATGTCCAAGTTCTTACAACATTTTAACTTTCTTTGCAGATATTCTATTATCACAATGTTGGATATTTAATGACAAAAATGAAGGAAACAGCAGCAAAAAAACAAAACAAAAAAAACTAAATGAAATCAGTTAGACTATAAAAACAAAACATACAGTTAATAAAAAAAAATTTAAATTTAAATTTACAGCATCTCCTTTACTTTATGCACATGTGCACTTACACCAACATAAGCATCACTTTAATCTGAAGATGTCCTAAAGGACGAAACATGTCACACTTCCACTTCATCATAGTTTTCTTCCCTAAGATTGTTCTTGATATATAAAAATTTATGTATCGTTTTCCCATCATATATTTAGCTCCTGAAAATAATCTAATTCAATCAAGCACTGTGGGGAAAAAGTGCGTATTTGTAAACAGTGACTATTACTGCTAATAATGCAAGCCTCTCCCAACAGATATATATATCATATATACATTGTATATACTGGTGACTTTTGAAGATCTAATTTTGAAGCTAATTTTAAGGGGGTTGCATCATGCATGCGATATAAAATTAGCATATGTACTGCTGGCTCTGGCTACACCATTGACCAAACTATATATCCATTTACTGTAGTCAAAAAATACAGCTTATTTAAAATAAACATGATTTTGATAAAACTCAGGTTTACTTAACTGTATCCAATAATAATGCATGTAATATTCACATATTAATATCATATTATAAAATAAAAACATAGCGAATATACATCTGTTCCATTGTTTAAGCTTCTAAGATGTTTAGTTGTTTCTTGTTCAGTTGTTTATGGCTGTACGCAGCAAGTATAGCATTACTAACGATACTTTTATCATTCTCTTTTATTTTTTTAATGTATTTAACTAGAAGATGGGCTAAAGAGATAAAGAGGAAAAGAGGATTGTCTATTGTAATTTGGTGTCTCAGAAAAGGAACTCGCATGATACACAAGATACATGATAAAATCATTTTTTATAAGTGAAAATTTTTTTTTGTGGGGGGGTCACATGATGCACAAGATCACATGTTACAGGAGTATATATGGGGTGTGTGTATGTGCATATATATATATATATATATATATATGAAGAAATATAGTTTTACGGTGTGCTATATTTATGGGATAAAATGCTCAATATCAGAGCTAGAGCATATGTAAATATAAATATAAAAGTGAACACTGAAGTCAACACTCAGAGTCAACAGATTGTTTCATGCTAGGCACAATCATGACAATTGCGCCTAGCATGAAACAGCCTGTCGCCTCTGAGTGACGACTTCAATGTTCACTTTTATATATATATATATATATATATATATATATAAAGTTGATGCAAATGTTGTTGTTATATATTAATCTATCTGAACAAGTTCTTATCTTGAACGCCTATCACTCCAAAGGCCACATCATGTTGAAACACCAGTTCTCATATGATTACCAAAGTTAAGCAATGCCAAGCTTAGTCAGTACCTAGATAAGTGACTGTTTGGGAATATCAGGTGCTGTAAGCTTGGATGTGTAGATGGTGTAATGGATAATGGCTTGGAATTCCAGTTCCTGTTGGGTTTTCCCTTCTGCATAAATACTCTTGAGAAAAGTATGACTCCACTTCTTCTCCTCCAGCTATGGGTTAATTAGTAAAACCTTTATCACTAAATTATTATTATCTCCAAAAACATTCTTACAATGTAAAAATATTTTCTGGCTTTAAATAACCTGCAATGAAACAATAAACTGTAGAAAAACGAATCAGTCTATCACTCCAAGATAATCTCTACATTAATTCTTAAAAAAGAACTTTCTACAAAGACACATACACAATATGGCTGCAGCATACTCTAGGAGAATGGTCACATGGATAAACCATTGGTTAAGGGCATCTAGTTGTCTGGTGGATCTGAGTTCAATTTTTGGTGGAAATAGTGAAAGTTATATACTCTGGTCCAGTGAGATAAAAAGAAAATAATATAGAAAAAGAATTGACTTGTAAGAATTGATAGAGATCATTCCCATCTTATGGATAGCGGAATGAAAACACTATTTTCTGTGGATTAAATAAAGGGATTTTGAGAAGGTCAGTAAAAATGATAGATACCTGAAGAACGCTGGAGGGTGTAATGGCCGAAACAATGTGATGATACAAATAAAGATTGATGTAAATTCCTTGCATGAAAAATACAGGAAGAAATTATGCAAATTTAATGGTAAATACAATTTAATGAAAACATTTTTTTTAAGCAAATCAGCCTTTGTTTAAAAAAAATGGACACAACTTGTATAGGCTGGACCACTTGTAAAAAATAGGGGAAAATACTTTAGAAAGTAATTTTTTTTATATTGGCATTCTTTAGATCTTCCTTAGGTTATGACACTTGCCAGAATCAAAAAATATTGACTTTACCATTTTAGAAAGTGTGTGTGTGTGGGGGGGGGGCTGTGTATAATATTGATATAGTGTCAAATCAATCCATGATTTTTGACAGAGTTATTGGATTTAGTTGTTTTATGTAAGAAAACAGATTATTTTTTTTGTCTCAGGGAAGTTGCAGAAAACCAACTGAGCTACAAGTGCCCAGTACTACTTGAATATACTACTGGTTCCCTCGTAAAAAATAGAAAAAAATTCTTTAGGAAATAATTTTATAGACACTTGTCAAAATCAAAAAGTATTGATTTAGAAATGGTGTCCTGTTTATAATATTGATATAAAATTGCCTCTTAACTTTCAAGAGGCATCAAAACTGTTTCAAACTGTCAGGTTTGAAATTGTGTTTTTGTAATTAATATTTGTGTATAAGTTTTTGTTTTTTTCTTACAAAAGAATGGTTATATACATTTTTATGTGTTTTATTTTAAGAAAATATCTTAAAAAATAAGAATTGTCTGGTAAAATAGATTTTTTTAAGAAGGATTTATCATTAAATAACAAACAGATGCATACATTTTTAACTAACAATTAGATTTTTCTTAAAAGTGCAAAAATGAATAAAGAAGAAAGAAAGAAAAAGAAAGTAAGTAAAAACAGAATGAGATAAAATTAACGTGGCTAGTCAGGCTGTGTAGACCTGAGCACTATCAAACTTAATAGGCAATGTATTTCTTGCTTTAATTTTATAAATAATCTTTTAAAAATCTTTAATGATTTGTATGCCCTGTTTTTCAAAGAACACAATATTATTTCAACTTATTGTTTTCAAATGTTCATTTTAAATAATTTATTCCTTACAGTATAAGGAGTTTTTTTAGCAGAATGTATCAACTGAAAAAGTCAAATTAAATTTAGCTTGACAAAAAGTATACAAAAATCAAAGAAAGTGGCAGCTTTAACTCGTTGACTGGTGAGTTGTGGTGAGGAGTGTGACTGGGCTAATGTTGGGGAAATGCAATATCAGTCGACTTTTCTGATCTCTACCATCAACGACTTGATAGCCAGGCTATAAAACAATAAAAAATGGAATGGGGGTAATAAACAGATAAACATACCAAAGACTTTGTCCTCACTCTTTTTTCTTACATGTCTAGAAAAAAAAATTTAAAATAAATGTTTTTTATTGAATTATTACAATTAATATTAAAATACCAAAATGTGTTTTTTTTAATTTCATGCACAGAGATTTTTAAAAATGATATATTTTAGTTAAAGTAAAGAAATCATTTTAGCATTGAAGTTATACCAATAGTATATTTTGTTAAAGATTGTAATAAGCTCGACAAACATTGATGACCTACAGTTGTCACTGATAAATATATATATAAATATATATATATATATATAAGACATAAGATATTTGAAACACTGACATTAAAGCTATCACAGTTTCTACCAGATCAGTATCATATAGGCAGGATTTATTGACAGATGATACTGTTCTTGTAAAAACTATGATAGAATAAAGGTCAGTATTTCAAATATTTCATATCTTAAACTGCCTGACATTTTCATTTTGTGAAAATTGTATTAAGCACTTTTTTTAATTAAACCATTCTTTTAGGCAAATATTTTTTGTCAAGGATTAAATTTTGTAAAGTATGTTTGTGTGTGTGTGTGTGTGTGTGTGTGTGTGTGTGTGTGTGTGTGTGCAAAAACTCAGATAAAATGTTAATAATTAAATTGAAAAATTTCTTTTGAAAGTTTTATAATAGGAACCAAAAAATAAAAAAGTAATTGTTTTTTTTTCACTCTTAACTCGAATGATAAGCTATTTCAACCTACTGTACTGTCTAAAATTAATTTATTTTAAAGTTAAATGTCAAAAGATTTTCAATTTTTTTCTTGTTAAAATTCACCTAAGTTTCCATTAGGATTTTTAAAAGAACATGAATGCTGTTGGAAGTAAGAAAAATGGCATGCAGTATGGTATGATCAAAATATTAAACTATTATGTCTTAACTTTATTGATTTGCCAACTTCATTTCTAAAAGTAATTGAGTTTCCTACTTCTGTCCCATAATAGATGCTACATTTAGTTTGTGAAATGCACATGAACATGTCTCAAATATTATGGGGCAGTAAAATGTAGTACTATCACTGTTCCATAATAATATTCACCTTATTTTATATATATATATATTTGTCATTCACAGACAGACTGTTTCACAGCTCTTCAGTGTGGCTAGACATTCAATTGCTTCAAGCTGGGATTGAAACCTGACCGATTTGGCATCAGTCAGAGATCCTACTCCTAGGCTATTGTTGCACAGCAGAGAGAAAGCGAAATTTAAACTTTTTCTATACACAAATACGCTGGTGGCCCAGATAGCTTAATTCAGTTGAAGAGCAATGCATTAATAGCAGTAAGTAATACCTCAAGTGTACCAAAATACAAGTTTTTGAGATATGAGCAGGAATTCAGCCTATTTTTTTGTCTTGAGATACAAACTGAATTTTGAGATAGGAGCAAGTTTCAGTTAAGTATCTGCTAGTTGGCACAGTGAGTGCCAAGCTTCAAGAGTATTTCTTTACAATTTGTTTTTTCTCTTTTATTTTATTGTTTGCAAATTACATTTCTTGTCCCTCATCATGATTGTACACAAATTTTAATATGGTGTTTTGGACAGCATCTGACATAAAAGACATTGAAGAATTTTTTGTTTTCTTCAGAATTACATCCAACAAATTCTGTTGTTGTTTTTGTAGTTCTAGCAACTGTTGATTTTGTTGTTGCTGTTATTGTTGTTGAATTTCAACTAACAAAGCCAAAATTTGGACCATATTTGCAAGAATGTTTTTTTCCCTACATATAAAAGAAAAATTTTTTTTCTTGTACACAACCAGAAAAAAAGATTTTTTTAAAAGCAACATGGTTAGAATTCTTTTGTCACTCGTATCCTTGTTTTTGAAGCAAGAAGTATCTTTTTTTCCATACTTGTTCACTCAGTATGAGTTTCCAAAATCCTTATAACTCCAGTTACAACTCGTATAAGTTCCTGAATTCTTGTTACTGTTATAAGTCATAAGAGTTCCGAATCTTTGTCACAGTGGTTATAAATCGCTTGAGTTTTGATTCCCACATCGCCACTGTTATAAAGCACTTTGTAGCAGTTATAAGTTATGCTTTGACCATCATGGCAAGTATTAATTAAGTATTAATTATTAATTAGTCTGAAGACTGACTTCAAATGGTTTCTTCTTCTAACCTGGATCTCTTTATTTATAGTTATGGACTAGTTCATATAGTCACCGGGGGGGTGTACTATATACTCCACAACACTGATGGAGCTTAAATAAAATTGAAACATGTTAAATTTATAAACATTTTCAAATTTGTACTTTATCCTATCATTCTTTCAGATTCTAATGCATATTTGATGCAAGTCATCTTGTAAATTCAAAATTATTCTTGTAAATAAACAATATAATAAATAGTGTTTAATATTTTTATTGTCTATTCTTAAGATAAAAGAAAGTGTATAAATCCATTTTCATGTGTTTGAGTTTTATTAAAATTCTAGAAATAGCTTTTTAAATCAGGATCAAGGCATCAGAAGATGTTGATTGCCATTACATTTGAATATTTGAAGATTATAGCTATCAGGGAAGTAAGTAAGAGGAAGGAAGTTCTACTGTTGGGAAGTGCAAGGGAAGAAGCTGTTGGAGTAGAAGAGGCAGCTAAATTTAATTGTTACAACAATGAAAGGGTAGGACTAAGATGCCAACCTAGTAACACGCTTAAATCCATGCAGATGGGGTACTAGTGAAAGTAGCTTGTCAGAACAATTGCCATGAAAATAATTGTAGAAAAGGCAGAGGGAATTCACAACATGTCTTTGAGAAAGTGACTGGAGTCAAGATCCCAAGTCAGGACCGATCACATTGCATATCTGTCTTTGGATTTTGTCAAGAACCTCGAGATGAACAGTGGGGGCACCAGACCATATATGGCAACAGTATTCAATGCAGGGATGAATAGTAGATTTATAGATGTGATGGATGAATTCAGGGTACATTTGTTAAACTTTGCCAAAAAAAGAGAATGTGTAAGAGTGAAAGAAAGAGAAAACAAAATGAG